CCCCCCCCGGTTTGGCTCCGCTCTGCAGCACTGGAGCCCCCCTCCCGGGCCGGCCGAACTGGGGCGCGCTCGGGGCCAAGGTCGCGTCTGAAGGCCGGGAGCAGTGGCGGAGACCTCTCCCGCCGGGATGGAGCTGCCGGTGGGGCTGGGCATGGATCCTTCTAGAGCGGGACGGGGGCGGGGGGGAGGCCCCGGGCAGGCGCCGGCTTCCCAGCCTCCTCGCTGGGAGCAAAAGGTGCAAGGAGAGCGCTGCGTCTTCTTAAGGGCTCGCTGCGGGTAGGAAAGATGCTCTGGACTAAGTGGTAGGGACTTTCCCTCCCCCCCCCCTTTTTTTTTTGCCAAGTGGAAAAGGTCTGTCTAGATGTCGAGATGATGGTCTGGAGCCCTCGCGTGAGTTTCTTGATGGACAGGCAGGCCGGTCGCTGCAGAAAGACAGCTGCTGCTGCCAGAGGTGCTTCTTCCTTCAATGTGGCTGCTAGCCGTGGGCTTTGTGCTACTGCAGGTGGCCATAAGCGGTGGACAGAAATCATCTGTACTGCAAGGACTTGGGAGGGGTGCATCTGCTCCGCAGTGGAACGCTCTCTTTCGGTGCACACCTGTCTTTGAAGGTAGGGCATAGAGAGGAGCTCTTCCCTCTCCAAAGCCTGGGGGCCTTCTCTGTGTCTGCAGGAGAGGGTCTCCAGCACAGCCTGTGACTTCCCTGCCACAGGGGACACATTGACTGAACCATCCTGAGGACCAGGAAGCTGAGGCCTGTAGTGGGGGGGGCACTCTCTTCTACCTGCTCTTGTATTGTGTGCACATGAGAGAATCAGCATGTTAAGCACATTTATACAGTCAAAATAGGCATTTAGCAAAAGGGGCAAGAAAAAGTCATTTCCTCCCTCCCCAACTTCTAGCCTTCACATTGGGTTGATGGAACTGATACATCCCGTGTCTAATTCCCTTGGCATTGTTGTGTTAGTGAGAAGTTGTGGGTGGGGCCCTAATAATTTGCTGGGTAGGGAACCTGGCTCTTTAGCACTGTGTTTTCCCAGGGAGAATGAATTGGTTATGCTTACATGAAGTGCCCAGTACAGTATTGACAGGCAGGCAGTGGCTCTCCAGGGTCTCAGGTGGAGGTCTTCCTCATCACCTGGAGCCACAACCCTCCCCATGGGAAAGACCCTGCTGAGGTGGCACTAAATCTGCTCCCTGCTGCCCCATCTGGTGAGAACTGAGCTGTCGTGGTCACACTGGAGTGTGGCAGAATGTTGCAAACAAGAATGTCATCTGTACAAAAACCAAATGTGTGCGGTGTTGTGTGAACATTACTTATTTTTATCCACACAGCAACTCTGTGACTTAGGTGAGGCTGGAAATGTGTGACTTGCCCAAGGTCACCCAGCGAACTGCAATGGCAGTGTGAGGATTCAGACTTCAGTCTCCCAAATCCTGGTCTGACACTCCGACCTCTGTACCACGCTGATTTATTGTGCTTGGCCAGTGCGGTAGGCTGGTGGTCTCACCTCTTGGGGGACAGAGGGAACAAGGTCTGTCCCAGGACCATCCAGTGAACTGGTGGCAGAGGAAAGCATTGTGGAGTGGACTTTACCTACCCAAAGGGGCGCTGCACTCTCTCTTCCTCCGAATTGGCCCTGGAAAGAGAGGATTTATTTCTGGATCTAGAAGGCGCTAGGCACTCACACACACACACACACACACACACACACACACACACACACACACACACACACACTCTCTCTCTCTCTCTCTCTCTCTCTCTCTCTCTATATATATATATATATATACATACATACATACATACACACACACACACACACACTGAAAATGAATGCCTGGCAGCCCTTAAAATTGCTCATGGGGGTCAGCCTTTAGGTGCAAGGGGGGGAAGCATAATTGTAACCTTGGCCCCTGCTATTATGTAACTGGCTCCTTCCCATCTCTGGGACAGCGGCCTTTAATTGCTGTAACAAAGCGACTTCTTCAGATCCCTTGGGACTTCGCCAAGAGATCGAAGTTGCTTGTGATGGGCAACTTTTCTTTTGGAAGGGGGGGAAAAGCTTTTTCGTACTCATGGCCAATGCTCCCTCTAAGCTGTGGAGTCTTGTGAGCAAAAATTCTACTTTGTGACCTACTGGCATTAAAGTGAGCGATTTGGCTGCTGCATGAATCAGTTTGCTCTGGCCTCCGTCCTGGGTTATGACAAAAATGTGTGAGCCGGAGGCTAAAAAACTGAGCTAGCTCACACTGACTCAGCTTAGAGGGAACACTGGTCATGGCTGGTTGGCCTGTCGGGCTCCAGTGGGCATGGCGGTGGGTTTGGATAAACCCTGCTCGAAGCCCCTAAAGTGAAGACCCTGTTCATGCACACCTTGATAATTCAAGAATACCTGGTGATTCTAAGAAGTAGGGGAAGTGCTCTGAAGTCCACTGACTTGTGGATGAGTGGCAGTGTCCCCGCTAAGCTGAGTTCGTGTGAGCTAGCTCACAGTTTTTTAGCTTCTAGCTCACAGATTTTTTGTCTTCACTCAGGAAGGATGGTTCCAGAGTAAACTAATTTATGCAGTATCCAAGTCGCTCGCTCACAACTTTAATGCCAGTAGCTCACAAAGCAGAATTTTTGCTCACAAGACTCCACGGCTTAGAGGGAGCATTGATGAATGGACCCTTGACCGGATAAGGGTGCCTGTGTACATCCAGGCATCTCTTCCTTTCTGCCTTGCAGCTAGCTACCTACTTGCTCCCATCAGAATTTGCTGGTTTGGGACTTGTGTGGAGAAACCCCAAAGATTCAGATGGGGAAGGAGAGGAGCTGACCTTCCAGGCCCCACCCACCCATCCGGTGATGCTTTAAACTGGCTTGGTCATGGTTTTGTTCCAAAGGATCTTGGGAACTGTAGTTCTGACAGAGGAGTGGGTCTCCTCATGAAGCCCCAGAATGCATTGTGTAGATTGTCTGTGGAATTCCTTGGGGGAGTCATTAGGTTTTGTTGGTTGTTGCTCGGTTCCCTTCTGGGTGAATGGGGTCCCCAGGACTGGGGTTAAAGTAGGGGTGATACCTCTCCAGTACCTGCGAAGTAAGTGTTGTGGATTAGTCCTTGTTGACGTATTGCGTGTGGGGCAGGGTATGCAGGCTGGGCCCAACTAGCCACAGTGCCTTCTTGTAAGAATCCTGGAACTGAAGCTCTGTGAAGCCGCTGGGTGTTCGTTTGATCAGGCTACCAGACCTTTTGTGCTACAAACGCAAGCCAGTCTGAGACTTGCTTTGGTTGGACAACAGTTACTTGGCCCATGGCACTACGGACAGGTTCTGTGAATTGGTGATGTCAAAGGTCTCCAGTTGCAAACTCTCTGAGTGGCCCTCGGCCTCTGATCAGCACAAGAGTGGTGGTGGTGCACATCTAACGTATGGGGCTGTTGTAAGGATTCCAGCATGCATGTACGTGCAGCGCTCTTTGGAAAGGCCATGCAAGCAGATGGTTTGTAAACTGGAAGCTACTAGCTGCAGAACTTGCAAGATTCATTTTACCTGCCGTGGCTTGCATCCCCCCTCACCAGAAAGTGCTGGTCATTGTGACGAGGAGAATTCCCCCTGTTGTCATCTCTGGCCCTGGCACGCAGTTACTGTTAGGGAGGCTGCTGGCTGGGATGATTTTCATTGCCTTAGAAGGGGATGTGCCCAGAGAGATCGTGTGGCTTCTCTGCAGTAGCGGGAGCCATTGATCGGGTCCCTTGCCGCCCTGCAGTCTGTGTGGATGAGGCTGCTGACTGGAGGCAGAGGGAAGCTGATATTCATGTGCAAAAGGCTGTTTATGCCAGCGAACCCTGGTCTATGAACGAGCGCATGCTTGGCCAAGCCGCGGAGGTGGGTGGTGTTCATGTGAGTAAGTGTGGGCCACAAAGCCTTTTGGAACTGCTGTTCTTGGCAAGGGTGGGAGGAATCCTGCACCCAAACGTTGCTTTCGAATCCCTTGGGAAGAGGAGTGGGTGAACTGTCGGTGCTGTGCTTTGGCGGTCTTGTGTTAGGAGATGGGAAGGGATCAATGCTCCCTCTAAGCTGTGGAGTCTTGTGAGCAAAAATTCTGCTTTGTGACCTACTGGCATTAAAGTTGTGAGCCAGCGATTTGGCTACTGCATAAATCAGTTTGCTTTGGAGCCCTCCTTCCTGAGCTGAGACAAAAATGTGTGAGCCGGAGGCTAAAAAACTGTGAGCTAGCTCAAACTAACTCAGCTTAGAGGAAATACTGGAAGGGGTGAATGTTGCTGCTTCAGAGAGACCTTGAAAAGGCCAAGCAGGAGGAGAAAATTTGTAGAATTTGCTGGCGGAAACAACGGCCTGGTTGTGCTACGAATGTGGCAAAAGCATGGCTGGACCACTTCCAAGCAGCAGGTGAAAAACTGCACATTGAAATGTGCTCATGACATGAATTTTTGATATGCATTAGGAAGGCAGTTGGCTAACACCCCCCCCCCCCAAATAGCAACAAAAAAAGCCCTGTATGTGGCTTAAAGGGGTACAGTAGTTCAGGTGGAACACTGCTGCTTGATGGTGTTGAACTGATCATAGTGAGTGGGCCTCATTCTAGTCCATGCTGAATCTGTCGTTTGTGTTACAAGCTGCAAAGTTAGCGACAGTAAGCTGTTCCAGTATTTGAAAACCTGCTTCCTCCATACCCCACCTTTCTTGCCAGAGCTGCTCATGTGGTTCTTCTTTCCTATATTTTATCCTCTCAGTGACCCAGTGAGGAAGTTTAGGCTGTGTGTGACTGGCCCCCGGTCCCCCAGCAAGCTCCCATGGCAGAGTGGGAATTTCAATCTCTGTCTCCCAGATCCTTTTCCAGGGCTCTAACCACTATACAACCCTGGTTGGGAGTGGGATGATCATCTCTGGATTATTTTAACTTGATTGTGATTTCATTGGGGCTGCACACTGAAATGCAACCCACTGAAGCGTCAGGAAGCTGGGCCCTCAGGCATCTCCTGATAATTTTTTTGCAGCTCTGTTCACATGTTACACTGAATGCTTATGCATCCAACCTGTGTTCACTCTACAAGTGAAATTGGGGACCAGCTCCTGGGTGGATGGGAGTGGGGTTTAAAATCACACATTCAACTACACATCCATTGAACATATGGAAATTACTCGATGCACATGTGAAGAAAAATCAGGTATCCACTGTCCACCGATTGTGCATGCAGTAACTTGTACACAGACATTCAGAAGTCTTCCTTCCAAAGGTACTGCTTCTGGCAATGTAGGCTTCCATTGTAAAATGTACATTGGGCTTTTAGCCCAGTGAAGGCCACCAAAACAGAGTATGTACGTATAAAAATATGTGGTTCATAGAATGCTTCTAACCGTAATACATTCATTTAGCTTGTAAGGTACTTCAAGGAATGGCGAGTGCACGCGTGCCAGTATGGTAATAGCTGCTGTGGGGCTGGGAATGAGGCCAAACTTCAACACACACACACCCCGCTGTGAAGCTGGAAAGGAGAGCTTTGTTAGTCTCTCTTAGCCTAGCCTGCCTCACAGGGTGGGTGTGAGGATAAAGGGGGAAGGAGGAAGCCTGTGATGCTCTGACCTCCATGAAGGAAGGGCAGGGAAGAAAGTGGGCTCTGTGTTGGGTGAAAGGTGGGTTGCATGGCTGCCAACTTGGTCTCCCATCCATGTGTTTTCTAGGCTGAGATTTCCTTCCCTTTATAGGAAACAATATTCATTTTTTTCAAGCAATTGTATACGCCTTTTTAACTTGCTAGCCAGCAATCATTCAGGCTCGCTGGCCGTCTTCTTTCTTGTAAGACCTATCGAAATAGGTAGAAGGTCCAGAAAGAAGCAAGACATTTTCTTGCTTGCAGGGTGGTTTGCTTTGGCATTGATGGATGAGGCCGGCAGAAGTTGTAACACACCTTGGTGCTTGGAGAAACCTCTTCCATGACCTTATGTGGTGGCCCACTTGATATATTTCCCAATTCCTGGCCTGCGAATGCTGTAGATAGGTAGGTGGATGCGGTCATGTATCTGGCAGGCCAAGATAAATTACCATTAGACTGTATTAGGTGGGGGATACTTTTGAGCAGCAAATGTGTTTGTAGTTGTCTGCTGTAGTAAACACATGTGGTCTAGTAACTCCTGTGGACTCCTTTTATAAGGCATCTGTAAAGAGAGGGATGGGTGTAGCCCAGTTCGGTGATCTGGCCTTCATCTGGGTCCTTCTTTCCGCAGGTCCATCATGTCTGACAGAAAGGCTGTGATCAAGAATGCGGACATGTCCGAAGACATGCAGCAGGATGCCGTTGACTGTGCCACGCAGGCCATGGAGAAGTACAATATAGAGAAGGACATTGCGGCGTACATTAAAAAGGTACTTTTGGGGTCCCTGTAGTGTGGGATGGATGCACCACAGAAGAGCCCTGCTGGGCCAAAACAAGGGTCCGGCTAGTCCAGCTTGTTGGTTGCCCTCACCTGTTGGCTAGGCTCATTTTATTTTTGTACATCCTGCTTTTGACCCCAACGGGGGCCCAGAGCCTCTTGCAACATTATTCTCCTCTTCCCTACTTTATTCTCACAACAACCTTGTGACGTGTCAGGCAGAGTAATTAACACAGCAGTGGTGCACGACCCAATTAAATAGTGGTTTATTTAGGAACTAACATAATAGGAAAGAGGAGAGACCGAGATAAGTGCCTAACTACATCTCTAGCAGTGAAGATGTAGTGAGTGAAAAACTTCTGAGAAGAAGAGGGGGGATGCCCTAAGGGTAGCTGTCTGGAGACAAACAAGGAATGACACTTAACAAGAGAGAGACGGTGCTCATCTCACTATCCTATCTAATTGTCTTCCGGCTGCCCCGTTTTCTTTGTACACCAGACATTGTCTATTCTAACATGAAGTACATTAGGCTGGGGGTGACTGGCCATGGCAGAGTGGGGGGATTGAAACCTGGGTCTGAATCCTGGTTCAGTGCTCTAACTTCTACACCATCCTGTCTCAATGATTTACTGTACTGTACATGGGGCTGCCCCTGACGCAAATTCGGAAGCAGAATGCTGCAACCAGGCTGTTGATGGGTCTTCCCAGATGGGAACACATCCAGCCTGTGCTGAAGGCACTGCACTGGCTGCCAATAGCATACCGAATTCACTTCAAGGTGCTGGTGCTTACCTTTAAAGCCCTCTATGGCCAGGGTCCGACATACCTGAGGGACTGCCTTTCCCCATATGTATACCCCAGAGAGCACTGAGGTTGGGGTCTCAGAACCGACTGGCCCTACCTGGCCTTAAGGATGCATGGCTCGCCACTACTAGGGCCAGGGCCTTTTCAGTGGCGACTCCACACTGGTGGAATGAGCTCCCGGAGGGGATCAGGGCCCTGTGGGACCTTATGCAGTTCCGCAGGGCTTGCAAGACGGAGCTCTTCCACCAGGCTTTCAACTAGGAGCCGCCCCCACTACTACCAACGAGCTGGCCCATAGTGCTAACATCTGGCTGCTACCACTGTGCTCAGGAAGATCATTGAGTGGCAAACTGTCTGATTGTATCGTATTCCAGCATGCCATTCTATCCATTTAATGTATTAACACGAGCACTTTATGAGGTTCTTGTTTTATTGTTATTGCATTTTAAATTGTTTTTATGTGAATGAATGGTCATTTATAGACCAATTATGTAAGCCGCCCTGAGCCCGCTTGTGGGGAGGGCGGGGTATAAATTAAAATAAAATAAATAAAATTTACGCAAAGGTAATATCCTGGTTCCTTCCTGGAGCCTCTGATTGGAGTGTTTTCTGGTCTTCATTGAAGAGTAGTTTAGCAAGATGCAAAGGGAGGGCTGGCTTGCCGAGCTGGAGAGACCCTTCCCCGTCAGGAAAGGAGGATGTCTCTTAGTGAGTCAGGTCAGTTGGTCTGTGTGTTCGGCTGAATGTTCTATTGATAGCTTGTGATTTGAAAATCTTAATAAAATTTTTGAAAGGATATCTGCGGGGCTTGGTCCTGTCGCGAGTTGGTAGCAGCTCTCGTGGTCTTGAGCTGGACAGTCTTTTCCAGTCCTGGGGATCCTCCGGCTGGCAGTGCCCGGGAGTGGATCTGGGCCCTTACGGCTGCGAGGCACTTGGCATGCTGCCTCTTCCTCCCCAGCCCAGCAGTGCGTGAAGCGGTCCTGTATGGAGCCCGAACCTTGATCCGTCAGTGTTGTCAGAAGAACCCTGCTGGGTGAGACCAGCGGTCCCCTCCTAATCCAGCATCCTTGCTCCGAAAATGGTTAGCCAGATGTGGGGGAGGGTGTGTGTGTGGTCTAGTGGGAAAAAAGCCTCTGCTTGGTGTGCAGAAGGTCCAAGGTTCCATCCCTGGCATCTCCTGTTTAAAAAGATGATCATGTGGTAAGTGATGTGAAAGACTGCCGCCTGAGTTCATGGAGTCGGTGAGTTCAGTAGGAGGCAGCCTCACGTGTCCTGTGTGTGCAGGAGACCCCGGGAAGGGTGTGGAGGTCAGTGCCCCCCCTCTCCCCCTACAGCTGGTCACTGGACCCAGAGGTCCCGTTTTGGCTGCTGTGACTTAGCAGCATCTAGCCGCTCCAGCAACTTGTTAAAAAGTGTGGGTGCACAAACAGATCTTGGCGCTGGCTGGAAGTCCTCTGGCTGTGACTGGTTTGCCTGCCTGCCTGCCACGGAAGAGCTAGGCAAGGGCTTGTGGCTGAATTGGGCTGGGCTGCCAGGCGGTCCCGAGAGAGGAGCAGGGGCGGCATTCAAGGGGCCCGGCCGGTGTGGCTGGAGGACTTTTTTTGGCCCTTGCCCCCCCAACCTGGTGGAACGTGCGCCCGCCCAAGATCGGGGCTCCGTTCCAGTTCTGCAGGAGGGCCTGTAAAGTGGAGCTCTTCCACCAGGCTTTCAGTTGAGGCGCTGGACATTCGGCCATTCCGGCTTCCCCTGTCCAGATCCACTCCCGGGCATTGCCAGCCGGAGGATCCCCAGGACTGGAAAAGAGAGCCAGTTTGGTGTACTGGTTGAGTGTGCGGACTCTAATCTGGGAGAACCGGGTTTGAATCCCCGCTCCTCCACTCGCCCCTGCTGATGTGACCTTGGGTCAGTCACAAGCTCTGGCACAGCTGTCCTTGAAAAAGAGCAGTTTGTGTCAGAGCTCTCTCAGCCCCACCCACCTCACAGGGTGTCTGTTGTGGGGAGGGGAAGGGAAAGGAGTTTGTAAGCCGCTCTGAGACTCCAAGTGAAGGACCATGGGGTATAAATCCAATCTCTCTTCTCTTCTTCTTCTTCATGGCCCCTTCCCAGTGCCCCGCTGCTCTAGATAACGTTACTTGGACACAGGAGCTTTTTATTCACCTGACATGAAGCATGGGTCCTTCCTGTTGTTGTTTCTTGTGCCATAGTTTTATCACTTTCATTGTTTTATGAATCTTATGTGTTGTAAGCCGCCCTGAGCCCACTTGTGGGATAGGGTGTGGTATGAATTGAATAAATAAAACAGTGGCTGTGCTGAAGTTCTGCAGGGGATGCGGGTGGTCAGTGCCTGAGTGAGTGCTCCTCTGGATCTCCTCATACACTGCTGTGCACTTAGATTCGTCATGAAAATGCAGTGGAATGAAGTGGAAGTTACCAAAGAGTGCCCAAGGAGAACAGACAGGAGGGGAGGATGAGTGGGCGTGGCCGGAAGCTGCAGAGCTGAGGACAGCCTAACTGATAGGAATTCTTCAGCCAGATTTTTGGGCTCCAAGCATCTGGTCATCACTGTCTTGGTTCTAGTCCTCCGGAAGAAGTGACAGTCTCTCCCCCCCCCCCCTTGGGTTGGCTCAGATCCTCTTCCGTGCTAACAGTGTTCCTCGCAGGCAAGAGCTTTAATGGCAATAGGATTTCTAGGTCAGAATAGCGCTGAGGTTGCTAGCTTCCACCTTCATCATCCTCCGTTCTCATTTCTACAGGGCGGGGGCACGGCGCATCCGAGAGCAGAGCTGTACAGAAACTCATTTAGTGTGGGGTGTGCGTGTTGATAAATGCTTCTGAGCACATTGCTAACTGCAGCTTCAACAATTAAGACAAACACTAACAATAAAATACCAGGGGCTACAAGGCCTGTAACAGAGGGTCTGCAACGGAAGAAAAGGCTGCTGATGGCTCTTGGTCAGGATGGTTTAAAAGAACCTCCACCCTGTTCAGTGGACCTGTGAATGCCAGTTATGGGGAGTAAGGCTGTTGGGGGCCTTGTGTGCTTCCCAGGGCAGTGTCCCTCAGAGTGGGGTCTATGGGAGGGTCAACGCATCCTCTGTAGTTTCTCATTCCATCTTGGCAACAAGAAAACGTCACCTCCTCCGCATCCGAGGAGGAGAATCTGGGTTTCCCCCCAAGGGGGAAGGAATTGGCTTCTCTCGATTGTGCACATTCACCTTAATCTTCCAGTGCAAAGGATTTCACTGTAAAGGGAGCTGCCGCTCTGCCTCCATAGGCAATAAAAGCCAGTGTTGGTTTTCTGTTGAATACTGGAGGTTCCCATATGGTGATGCTGGTGCACCTCTGGATATTTTTTCCAGGCTCCTTGCCACTCTCTTCAGTTAGCCTCTGGCTAACAATGATAAGAAATGGTCTTGGGCAGTGTTCCCTCTAAGCTGAGTGAGCTAGGCTCACAGGTTTTTTAGCCTCTGGTTCACACATTTTTATCTTAGCTCAGGAAGGATGGCTCCAGAGCAAACTGATTTACGCAGCAACCAAATCGCTTGCTCTCAACTTTAATGCCAGTAGCTCACAAAGTAGAATTCTTGCTCACAAGTCTCCACAGCTTAGAGGGAACATTGGTCTTGGGTGCAAAGTCCCTTTCGATCAAGGGGTGAGAGATCGAAATCTGGTTCAAGGCCATAGGACTGGTAGCCCAATAAAATTAGCTACCTTTGGAGATTTGACCCTGCTGGTCATGCACAAACATTGTTCTTAAACTTGCTTTCAGGTGTAGCTGATAAGAGTTTTCTCCGTACTTGGAGGGTGCTAGGAAACCAAGGCCTCCATGGGGTGTAGGCGGCGGGCACAAAGGGGGTGTGCAGTGGTTAGGAGGGAGAAGGCTTTGGGAATCCACAAGAATTTCTGCAGAAAATTGGGGGTACCCCGGTTGCTGGAGTTGAGGATCTGTGTTCTGGAGGCATTTGGTTGACAGCTGCAGGAACTAGGATGGTGGACTAGATGTTTTTTGCTCTGATCCAGCAGAGTTCTTATTAGCGTTGATAGTTTGGAATAGAATGTCCAGGTTCAGGCGCAGGGTATTTGAGTACCACATGTGAGGCCACAGACAACTGTGAGTGCTGCAGTTTGTGGGTTTTGAAAGCCACCTTTTCTGGCTCTGGCTAGTAATGGGATGCTGGATTAGATGGACCTTTGGTCCAATCAGAACATGATTTCTCAAAAGCACTAGATAAACGGCAGCAATGCATACTTATTTACTTAATTCATACCCTGCCATTCTCCTCACTGGGGACCCAAAATGTCTTGCATCCTCCTTTCCTTCCACCTGTTTATCTTAACAACACCCCTATGAGGTAGGTATGTGGCTGGCCTACTGTCACCCAGCGAGCTTCTGAGGCATAGTAGGAGTTCAGACCTGGGTCTCACAGATTCTAGTCTGACATTCAGACACCCTGGCCGTCAGTAGAATCTGAAAATCAGCAAAAAGGGAAAGTGAGAGGTCATTGTAAAAGCCATACCAATCAAAAGCAGGATAAAATGCCTTCCCTTTACCTGAAAGATGTCAAACAGCATCAGCACGACATGGATATTTGGGAACATAAATCTTTTTTTTTTCTTCCCCAAATGGTGTATTCAGTGCAACTAGGTAACTGAGTTCTGAAGTGCAAACTGTTGGCAGGTAAAGGAAGCCTGTAGAAATGTGTGATGCTCTTGATTTATCTTAACTTCCTCACTTGTAGAAAAATGCAGTGCTCCTCAGTTCAAAAGAGGACCATGGTGCACTTAAGCCAACCCACTCCCTTCAGTCTCCTGCATCTCCAGTTCAAAGGTAGCAGGTGATGGGAAAGACCTTCCTCTGCCTGAGACCTGGAGAGCTCCTGCCACTCAGTGTTGGTGAGGCTGACCTTGATGGACCGATGGTCTGACTCGGCACAAGGCAGCTTCATGTGACATTGACTGCCTGGAGATGCCAGGAACTGAGCCTGGAGGTGGCGCATGCAAAGGTGGTGCTGTTAATTTAACCAATCCCAAGCAGAGAAGGAGAATCTCGCAGAGGTTACATACTTCTGCAGCTCTGGTTTTGAAGACCCAAAAGTTGGAGCAAACCATTGGCTCATAAAAGTATGTGGGGGGAACAGGCCTGAATTTGCCGTTCCTTCATTAGCACCTGTGCTCAAACACCCCCTGTGCTGCTCTTCCAGCACCTTCTAGCATCACTTCCACTAGGCATCTGCATGCACACACACACACACGGGCCTGCTGCAGACCTACCTAGGGGTGCCTTTGCCAAGTGAGGCTGACCCCCCCCCCTTTGAAATCAAGCCTTGTACTTAATATCCTGCCTCTCCACAGGCTTCTGAGTCCGTGAACAATTTTTATTTATTCATTAGGAGCTGTTATACTCTGCCTTGAATACCAGTCTCGGTAGATGGGCACTTTACAAAGCTGTAAAAACAGCTGCTAGTAAAACAAAGATGCCTTTTCAGACCAGACAATGCAAGACCATGAGCTAAAACTGCCCGCCTAGACACAGGCCTCTCAGTTCACTGGGCTTGGTTTAGTGTCCATGAAACCAGGCTGTGAAGCTGACTTCCTGGTCAAATTTGGTCTTAGCCATAGTTCCACATGATGTCTGAATGGTGCCTGCCTGGCGTGTTCCTGTGGTGCCGCCATGCCAGGCTACAGAGCAGGGGCATAGAGAGCGTTTCTTGAGACAGCCACAAGCTGAGCTGAATCCTTGTGTTGCAGACTGACAGTAGGCACAGTGGTTTTACATTATGTCTGAGCCAAGCCAAGTGAGTGTAAAAGTGTGGAATTTGCTGCCAGACGATGTGGTGATGGCCAGAGGCATAGATGGCTTTGGGAGGGGATTAGGCAAATTCATGGAGGGAGAAGCCTATCAGTGGCTACTAGCCATGTGGATGAAAGGGAACTGTTGTTGGCTGTCCAGAGGAACTGGTTGGCCACTATGAGACGGGATGCTGGACTAGATGGACCAGTGGTCTGATCCAGCAAGGCTCTTCTGGGGGTTTTATGTTCATTAGTGACCTAAAAACGTAATAGCACAAAAAGCAGCTTAACCAAAGGAGCATTGGGTGCGCAGGCAGGATGAGAACCAAATGAGAAGATCTAGTTAACTTGGTACCGCCTTAGAGGTCCCTAACATGTCACTGGCTTTGTTCATATGAATGCAGTCTTGGACTTGCCCCTGAGTTGTGGCCCCTCTCCAAGGATGTGGAGCTAGGTGGTCTGATCCAGCAGGGTGGTCTGACCAGCAGGGTCCTTGAGGGGAGCTGTATATTTTTTTTAGTAGTAATGCCGGGTGTAAGAGGGAGCCCTTGGGGCGTGTGTGATGTCGTGACAGAGTACCATAGCTATGGTGGCTACAGGGTAGTTCCCTGAGAATACCAGTGGTTGGCAGCTAACTGAACAGAAAAGAGTCCAGGAATGGAGTAGCGGCTTTAGACTAAACTTGATACGTTGTGTGTTAGTAAAACTTAAATTTTCTTTCCTCCCTCCCCCTCCCATCTGTTTTCTTCAGGAATTTGACAAGAAATACAACCCCACTTGGCACTGCATCGTGGGCAGGAATTTCGGCAGCTACGTAACGCACGAGACAAAGCACTTCATCTATTTCTACTTGGGCCAGGTCGCAATCCTCCTCTTCAAGTCGGGGTAGGAGGCAGGTGGCGGTGAAGGGACACGGCGAGCGAGGGACCCGGACTGTGGTGTTCTGAAGGCAGGGAGTGCGCAGGCTTCCTCTACCATGGCTGTGCCGCTGCATGGACTGTATACTATATTTAATGTGTATATGTTGCAGTAATACACCTAAATTCTCTTTTGGTTGCCTGGGAGATGAAAGGCAGCATCGTTTTTTTCTAAAAAAAAAATAATTTCTTGGGTTACTGCTCTTTTTTCTTTTTTGTTCCTTTGCACTAGGGAAAACTGTAAATGCTTCAACAATGGCCTTTAAGTGGGGGGGAAAGAAATAAACTTTAATTCCACAAAGTCATCTCTTGGTGGTGTTAATGTTTCTCAAAGCCAAGCTTAAGCAGACCAAAAAAAGTTCTTGTGAGGGGCTGAACTGGACTGAGGCATCCACCAACGGTTTCTTTTGTTGAGCCACTGACGACTGTGTGACGTTCCTGCTGTCCGTAGTGAAAAGGGATGGTGGGTGGGGAGGGGCTCCCGGCCTGAATTGGCTTTGCAACACACGGTATTGCCTCCAGCGCAAATCTGGAACAAAGCTCGTATTTAATCCTAATGTTCAGGCTTCAAAGTAGATTAGTCCTGGCCGCAGACAAATCCTTACACCCCCATCCATACCCCACACTAGGGGCATCTGGCCAAGGTCCTGAGGCCCATGATGCCCATGCCCATGTGGGGCAGCTGCTGTTGGCCTCTTTCTCTCTCCATCCCTGATTGAGTCAACGTTGCCTTATTGCAGCTTACTTCCGACAACTGTTGTGTGGGAAGATCTGTCAAAAATTGGTGGCTTGATGTTGTGTAGGTGCATCGTGGGTTTTTTTTGTGTGGTTTTTTTTGGAGGGGGGGAGGCAATTGTTTGGTAGAGGCCAATTCAAAATCTCCCTCTTCCCTCCCCCCCACCCTAACAGAAGCCTGCAGAAGCAGATAAAGCCAGTAGCAAAACTTCCATTGCAGCAGAAAACATGCCTGCTTCTGAAGCCGAGGAACCGTCGTCTCCTGCAGGCTTCATTGGTGTCATCCCTGATGTGTAGTTGAAACTCTGTTCTATTGCTAAGATGTCCAATTGGCTGTCTCTATTGTTTTTTCTTTGTGCGTTCATCCTTGAAATACATATTGCAGTGATAGCTTTAGCAAAATTTGGGTGCTTTTGCTGTCAGGAGCCTATACATTAAAATTGGGTAGATTTTCCCCCCCTAAACTTGGGTGTTAGAGGAGCAGTGAAGAAAAACTTATCTGCAAGTTAGTACCGACTCCAGGACACAGATATGAAAATTGTCTCCATCTGTGCTTGTATATCATTCCTTGGGGGGGGGGGGGTGACAATTTTCATTTGGCTGTGAAACCAGGGAAGACCCAAGCTGTCAATCTCTGATGAACAGAAGTTCTCCTTGTGTCTGTGCAAAATCCGAAGTATGCCTCATACTTTGTACAAAATCTCAGTCAAACCACCTTGTTAAAAAAAATAATAAAACTAGAGATTGATGTAGCTGTTGTATTTCATGTTGACTTCAGTCTCCCACCTCACGAGGGGGTGTCAGGAAAGGTGAGGTGCCTCAGATCTCAACTAGGGCTCTCCCCACTTACATTCTAAGGAATTCTACCTGATCTGAAAAAGGAGAATGTTTTGTCTTTCCTTTCTCTTTCCGTGCATGAGTCTAACTTGTGAATATGTTCACACTTCATGGAGCGTGCAAAAATTTGAGAAATTCCCTTATCTGCAGTTGCTCAAAATAAATCTTATTTTTCAAGAACATTAAAAGAACTGACACATTTAAGAATGGCTTCCAGTTTCCTTTTTTTCATGTTCGGGAGGAGTATGCAGTGGGCTTGCTTTTATGGGTGGGAAATGTTTTCATGGCTTCTTGAGGTGACGTTTGCTTCCTTGTAGGGTGGAAGTGGTGACAGATCTTGATAGAGTTTGGCTGCCCCCTCACCCCAGTCACTTGAAACGGACACGTTTCCGTGGCCTGGAAGTGCTTCATTCTGACCCTACCCTCTCTTCCGCCCCCCCCCCCCTTCAAAAACAGACTGATATCTGAAAACAGCCGCCCAGAGGAACAGAAGCCAAGGGAATGGATGATTTGCTTTTCACGTCCTCCTGGTGTTAAGGGAAAACATTGAGAAGAGCCAAGGATCAGTCACAGGTGGGGGGGCCAGGCTCACTGAGGCTCTGGTGGCGGAGGAAAGTGCCGTCAAGTTGCAGCCGACTTAGGTTTTCAAGATGAGAGATTCACTGGCTGCCTCTGTTGCAACCCCCGACTTCCTTGCTGGTCTGCCATCCAAGTACCGACCAGGGCTGAATGCTTAGTTTTGGCGAGCTGATGAGATTGGGCTGGTGTGGGCCGGCCATGTTCGGGCCATAGCCAGCAGTGGGGCTTTGGGGGCTGAGCCCCAGCAGCAGGAAGAGCTGGTGAGTGGAAGGAAGGAGGGTAACAGAAACAGCTTCAGGCCAGTGCCACTCAAGCTCTCCACTCCATCCCCCGTCCACAGGCCGCCAAGACTCTGGGGGTGCCTCTTCTTACCTGCAGCCTGGCGGGGGGTGGGGGGGTGGAGAGCGCAGCAGGATGGGGCTGAGTCACAGGATTGGGAGGGAGCTGCCCTTGCTGAGCTCTCACGGGGCTGGTCCGCAGGATTGCCCACCTCAGCCCCCCCCCGAGTTCCCGCCAGCTGGCGGGAAGACTGAGGGCCGAGGCTGGCGAGCTCAGCTTTTGACGCGTGCAGAGGCGTGCCTCAGGAGGGGGTGGGCAGGACTGTCTGGCGGGGGCTCGTCCAGAGTCGCCGGGAAGTCCCCCAGGCCACAGAGAGGAGGATTGCTGCAAATCCAGGTGCAGCAAAGTTGGGGGGGTTAAATTTAATTAGTGCCCCCCAGGGAAAAAATCCTGGGCACGGGGCTGGGGCCATTGCCAATGGTGAGTGCCTAACTGGTTTCACCCCCACTATGCGTGGTTCCTTATAGGCCTACAGTTTCAAGCTACAACTCTACACTGTACGTTAGCTTACTCTGCCGTTTCTTGGTGTACATACTGAGGTTTTCTCCCCTCGTTCAAGGACAGGTGTCTTCAGAAACGCCGTTACAAAAGTTTCAGTCCACCAATAAGTCCGCTATGTACAAGCTTCAGGCTCATGATCGGATGGAGCTGGGGCTGCCTCCCCACTTCAGGGAGACCCTGCAAAGGCTGTCTCAGCTGCCCGAGGCCTGCTTCTTGACAGGTGGTGGCCAATGCTTCCTCTAAGCTGTGGAGTAGCTGTTCCTGTAAAAGGTAAAGGTTCCCTTGCTCAAAAGCCAGTCGAGTCCGACTCTAGGGTTGCGGTGCTCATCTCCGTTTCAAAGCCGAAGAGCCAGCGCTGTCCAAAGACGTCCAAAGAAGGTAACGCTGTTACCTTCCCACTGAAGTGGTACCTATTTATCTACTTGCAATTTCTTGCTTTCGAACTGCTAGGTTGGCAGGAGCTGGAACTAGAGATGGGAGCTCACTCCATCATGCGGCACCCGGGTCTCGAACTGCTGAACTACTTACCTTCCACAGCCTGCAGTTCAGCGACTTAACCACTTGAGCCACCGCAGCTCCTCATCCTTCCTGAGCGAAGATAAAAAGGTGTGAGCCAGAGGCTAAAAAACTGTGAGTTAGCTCACACTAACTCAGCTTAGGGGGAACACTGGTGGTGGCAGCGTCAGACCCCTGCACAGAGGGTCCCTTTCTGCTAGCTGCAGAAAGGAGGACAGAGCAATGGGGGGAGTTCTTTTGTGTTGTACTGTCTGCTTAATTTCAGCATGACAGTCTGCAGTTAAAGGCACAGGAGTGGTACCATCCTCTAGGGGGCATTTTTATGCCACAAAGGGCAAAGTTTGCTTCCCAGCATAGGGGTGAGGGAACCTTGTTTTGCATCTCCTGAGCTGCATCATGTAACCAGGCCTCTAAACCACTTGGCTGCTGGCTGCTCCATCGCCTGAGTCACCTTGCTGTATCCTTAGCCCTCCCCCCTTCAGCAGCCCAGGCTCTTAGGCTAGGTGGAAGTGGGGGGGGGGGAGATTACATAACTGGCTTGGCTTTCCTTTAAGCAGGTTACTGTTAGAGCCTCCACTGCTGCCAACTTAGTCGAGCAGTAGGCCAAGCCAAAGACCTCCCTTTCCCTGCTCACAGTGCACCCTTGGAAATGTGGCAGACAAGGAGGTGTAGGCTTGCCAAGTCCCCCCCGGGGGCCAAAGGCCCGTTCCCCGCCGGCGGCGGATCGGGCCCCGGGGTGAACCCCACTCGGACGTGCGTGTCACCCAGAAGTGACGCGGCCACACCGGGCATGCTGGGGGCGGGGCCACGGTCATCCGAGGGAAAACTCTATGGTGTTTCAGACGCCCAAGGGCGTAGACTTTCCAATTTCCCGGGGGGGGGGGCTGGGGCTCAGCCAGAGGCATTGCTAAGTCATTAAAAGAACTGGGACCCAATGACATCATAGGGAGGAGCTAGGGATTTAGGGATGGGCTCCCCAGAAATTTAGGGAGGCCTGGGAACCGCCCTAGCAATGTCCCTGGGCTGGGCTAACCCCAGGAACAGTTGCCTTCTTAGCACACTGCTTAGAAACTTAGAAAGCCCCCCCCCACACCCCACACTGGAATAAGAACATAATATCAGGCCATACCACATTGCAATAAAGCCCCTACAACTGTATACAGAAATACAGAGCTTCCCTACCATTTGCCACAAGAAGAAGAAGAGATTGGATTATACCCCGCCCTTCACTACCCAGGGAAGTCTCAGAGCGGCAGCCCTCCCACTGTTGACCCCCCCCAAGCACCAAGAAGACAGAGCATCACTTGCCCCAGAGCCCCTATCTATACCTTGTGGCTAAGAGCCACTGATGGACCTCTGCTGGACATTCTGGAACATCCCCCCACACTGAAAACCATGCAGTACATCTACCTACCAAAAAGAAAACTAGCACAGACAGAGCCTTTCTCCCTGCTCTGTAGAGGGCTGCAGAACTCAGGGCTTTCTTTGTGGTGCAGGTGAAAGCGGGGTCTCCCTTTCCCCAGAAGCGGGACCACCCTGCACACTGAGGCCGTCCTCCACAGCAAAGTGGAATCTGTCCCAGGCCCACGTAGGTGGTGCTGAGCGGCCTTTGAGCCCAGGGTTCACTCCTCTCCCGTGGAGTCCGCAAAGCTCAGCCTTCCTCTGGAGCACCCGAGAGCCCGTCCACAGGGCCGCGACGCAGCCAAGGAGCCTTCCCGAGGCAGAACCCGCCCGAGGCTGGACTGGCACGCCGTGCCGCAACAGGGCCACCCACGGCCACGGGGCCCCTTCCTCGTCCTCCTCCTCCCCTGAGTCCCTGCGAGGGCGCACGCATGGAGGCCGAGGGGCGGGGTGCGCGCGCGTGTGTGTCTGTGTGTGTGGGAACTGTGGCCGAGCGGCGGAGAGTCCCGGCGGGCCGCCAGCCACGCTGCCTCGGCGGGAAGGCACTTCTCCGGGCAAAGGGCAGGCTCTCTCCAGCCAGGTCACGCGGTCTTGGGGCTGCAGCGACACTCCAGCGCGACAGATTCCCCCGCCCCGTGCTTGTTAGGGGGCAATTAATTAAAGCGTCTCGCCAGCGGGGCTGTCCCCGCGAGGGTGCTAGGGGGAATGGAAAGCACCGGGCTACGACGCGCGCCAGAGAGCTGGGCAGGGAGAGGGAAATTGAGGAGGGAAGGAGGGAGGGATTGAGTGGCAGCCTCTGTTTCTCCCTCCCCTCCCAGTCCCTGGGGAGGCTGTAGCTGCGCTAATGGGCTTCCCGGCTTCCGAAGGCTTTGCTCCGTCCTCGCCAACTTTTTTAGAGTCTGCTGGGCAGCTGCGGGGAGGGCGGCCGTGCTCCCGGGCGCTCTTTCCTCCTTCCCCCAAACCCGGAGGCGCCCGCTAACAAAAGCCAGGCTCCGGCGACGCTGCAGTAGCCATGCTCCAAGGCGCGCCGAGGCGCGCCAAGGCTCACCTAGCCCCCACCCCGTCCCGAAGCACGGCGCCTCTGCCTGGTGGGCGGGGTTTCTAGGAAATTTCGGGGGAGGCGCCAGCCCCCCAGCCCCCCCGAAGATTACGCCGGTGCAGACGCCGGACGGGAGTCCCCCGCTCCTGAGGAATTTTCACTTGGCAACCCTAAGGAGGTGGGAGTTGATTGAAGGGTACAGGAGGAATGTGTGCTTGTTGAGGATGGTGGGGGTGCATAAAAGTGTACATATCCATGCATATAATCAAACAACATCAACAATCTTGTATATTTTGGGCCAAATGCTATGCTGCTGAAAAAGCCACTAATACTTCTAGATGATAGATCCAGGTGGTCAGCCATGTTGTCCTGAAGCAATAGAACAAATTTAGAGTCCAGTGGGGGCACCTTTAAGACCAGCAAAGTTTTATTCAAGGTACGGAAGCTCATACCTTGAATAAAACTTTGTTGGTTTTAAAGGTGCCACTGGACTCTAAATCTGTTCTACTTCTAGATT